GCTAGGCGGGGAAAATACCCTGCCCACCCTTTCCCTATCCCGAGCCCCTCCCCCAATCCAGGGACAAGAAATAAACACAAAAGCAGCAGGGCTCCCTATGCGCGCGACAGGTGGGTGCCAGGCAACTAGCAAAAGAGTCTGTGGCGCTGCTGGAACCCAGCTGCGCTCAGGGCGCGCGGGCGTGGCCAACAAGTCTGAGCTGTGAGATGCTAGGGACAGTCGCGCATTCCTGAAGGAGCCCTGGGGAGCAGGTGTGAGAAAGTCCAGCAGGGACAAAGCTGCCGGTTCGAGTCACAGCAATGCTTCTGAGAGCAAGCCAAGCAGGTGCAAATATAGCAGAGTCCCAGGGATGTTAAGTCATTAGGTGGCTGAGAGCCAGACTCAGCCTGAGTTCTGTGCGCATCTGTGCCATGGGTACCCCAACAACTTTGACTTCATTTGTAGCGCGAGCATGTGGGCTTCGAAGGCCCGAAGACCCAGATCTCCCATGTCAGTCAATTGTCCCTTGGTTATTTAGAATCGACGTGGCCTAGTACCGTGCAACTGCTCATCATAGTGCTCCAGCCAAGTGCGCAACTCAGACACCTGGTACCCGTCGGGGCCACGGCCTCCCTGGTACATGATGGTGCCACTCTGGATGACGTAGAGACGCTCAAAATAGGCACCATATGCGGAACTACTGGAGTTGGCCATGGTGTCCAGGACCAGAGCACAGCCAGGTGCACCTTGCTGCAGTACCCTTGCGGCGCTGACACGGTCCTCCAGGCTGCGGTGCTGTGGGATGGTGTAGGGCGAATCTGTGGTGACCCAGCCGTCGGATGGGTGGGCTTCCTCGATGTAGATGATGAGAAAGTCAACATCACGTTGGTACTTGGTGACCAGACGCTGGAAGGCGCTCATTCGCGCCATGAACGGTGGTCAGGTACAGCTGCCAAAATTGAGCACTAGTGGGCGGCTCCCCTGTGCATAGTCGAGGATGCGCTGGCTCTGGAAGCCATCAGGCCGGATGACCTCCGAGTTAGGTGCAGGGCCACCCTCGTGGGCCTGCTTGAAGAAATCCAACTTCTGGCCATGCCACACGGCCTTGAGCGAGGCCAGGGTGCACAGACGGTTGTCGTCTGATACACAGATGGGTGGGTCATCGGCGGGCACCTCCTCGCCTTCACTGTTGAGCTCTACTTCGGGCTCAGGGTGGTCAGGATGGCGACGGCGCAGGAAATGCTTGCGAATGCACAAGAAATCTAAAAGCCAGAGCATGAAGGCCGTGCCTAGGAAGCGCGGGAAGAGCACGAGGCACGAGGCGGTCTGGGCGCAGAGCCTCAGAGAGTGAAGCAGCAGGGAGCGGAACATGGTGGCCGCAGGCCCCGAAGCCCCCGGGGGTCCTTCACCTTCTCCGACCACCAACCGCGAGGCGGCCTGGCGAGGCATCTGGTCTTCGTCGGCTCAGGGAGCTCAATTTATAGCCAAAGCTTGAATTGGCGGGAGACTCCACCTCCGGCCAGGGCCCGCCCCCTTGTGACTTGAGCCCGGAGGGATCACCCAGAGGCGCGGCCAATGCCCCAGAAATCCTGGGTCAGGGGGGGGTGTAGGCTGGCTGAGGGTGGAGCGGTGCGTCCCAAGGCTGGCAGGGGCGGGCCTGAGCCCCGCAGCCAGCTCTCAGGGGTGTGGGACCCCGGAGTAGCTGCGGCCGGGGACTGGGAGCCCGATCCCAGAGCCGGACAGTCTGGGGTGGCAGTGGTCTAGCCCGCGCCAGCGCTTCACACCGTCC